TAATTTCCGATATCATATCTTCCATTCCTTTGGGTGTTACTTCTATGTCATTTCCAGAAGTATTTTTTTGAGATGCCAATTCTTCAATTTTCTGTTGTAACTTATTGTTTTCTTCTAGAAGAACTTTGTTTTTTTCCATCATTTCATCAAGACTTTTGACTAACTTTGGTAATTTCTTCAGGCTCATTCGACACACAGAACAAAAATACATCAAGATCCTACTTCTGAGTGCCAACGCCCGCAACTCAGTGCTTGACAGGTTTGAACAGCCTTCATGAATCCATTCATTACAGCAGTCACATATTACGAAATCCTTTTCAGAACCAGGTTGGTTGCATTTTTCACAAATTAATTTTTCCATTATGCCAAAAGTTGATATGTTTCTGAATGAATGAATCAAGACTCATTTCGGATATCTAATCCTCCTAAAAAAAAAATCAACAAACTGCTGCCCTCACTGATTCAATTGGGAGCTAGTAAGTGTTTTCGATTCCCACAATGTTTATTGTGAGGACACCAGCATTATTCGTACCTAGCAAAACGTACGATATCAAAATCAATCCCGAATTCATAAGTAGGACCCTCAGACGAAATAAAATCATCGCAAAAGTCACCCCACAGACTATGCAGAACAGACAGACAACAGCGTCAGCGCAGCCAAAGAACTACTGAGAATAATAATTCAATAATTGGCAAGAACAAGGTCGTCAAGGTAGCCAAGAAACGACTTGTCTTAGACCATGGACTGATCTTTGATTTGTAGTGTCAGCATAATATAGTCCAATCAAATGGTATTTTCACTTGGAAAAAATAGTCGGTTCCTCTGTGGTTTCATATGTTTTTGGAGGAGCTGAATTCGAATCTGAATTTTGCAAACAAAATTTCCTGGAGCGTTCCGAGATATTCGTGAAAAACAGCGAAATTTCGGATTCTTTTCGGTTTTTTGCTCGTAACTCGGAAATTATACGTTATATCGTAGAAACCGCCCCATAAAAAGTTGAAGTAGATAAAACTTCCTGAATATAATTGTCATTCTTCTAATGAAGCCTAATATTTTCTTGACGGTTGAATTTTGAACAAAGGTGCTCCGCGGATTAGCATCAGTCTCTAGACCCATCTTTTTTCAGTAATAGCTCTAAGGGTAGTGTTTTAGCGCTTGTTTGCTGAGACTCACTAGCTTACGAATTGTTGGAGAACTCTTTCCTTCTCGTTTACCTTTAGTTTCTCAACAGTAGTAGGATTTTTCACTTCATTCTCATTTTCTGAGCTCTGTGATGAGGTGGCATTTGCTTGACTCACAGAAAGTTGAAATTTAAGCTCTGCACTTTTTTGCTAGGCGATCAGCTGCCTCATTCCCTCGACGCCTTGGAACCTACATGAGCGAGAATTGATTCTAATACTAATTCGATCATCACAAAATAGGTGATTTTGATAGTTTGAATAGTTTATCAGTTTTTTATCAAAAACTCCGAAGAATATAATTTTTTTTCCGTCCCTCACCCCACAGAATACAAAAACAAAACAATGAGCTATTAATACGTTTCAGAGCTTGAATGAATATAGGTTCATATGATCCATATATCCAATATAAGTTGAAAGGATGAACATGAGTGTGGCAACCACGACTTTAAAAGACGTCTCCAAGTCCGAGCGAACAGCCGTTCATCTTTTTTCATAATGAAGGAATTTACATGAGCTCGATAGGAAATTTGATGCTCTCCCAATATGTGCATAATGCTCTTTCTCTGAGTAATACGTAAAATATGAATTATCTGCGAAAAGCGACGAGAAACGCTATTTTTTTAGAAGTCCCCAAATATTGGTCCATTTTCAACCGGATCTATATCCGCACCCTTCAGTCCTACATTCATGAGCAAGAACAATTTTACCTACTTCAACTTTTTAAGGTTTTTTCGATATAATGTATGATTTCCGAGTTACGGGCAAAAAACCAAAAAAAGTGCGAAAATTTCGCTAAATCTCGGAATGCTCAAGGAAATTTTGTTTTCAAAATTCAGATTTGAATTCCGCACCTTGACGTATAAAACCACAGAGAAACCGGCTACTTGATTTTTTCTTCGGATTGGGTCATAATCGTTACCGTTTTAATGAGCTAATTATTCGACTTGAGGTTTCTCAGCCAAGTCACATTGTGTCGAGAGGCAATAATAATTCACTCTCTCAAAATCTTACACGGATCGGACATATTGAACGGAAGTAGGATTGTACCGGTATTATCGGATACCATCGAATATTATGATACGAGATTGGCATTTGCATTGCGAGGAATTAATATAGAGCCAAGATTGGACCTCGTTTTGGAAGCATTACGTCGAGATTAGATACCAAGTGTACACATATCAGATATAGCAGTTAACCTAACTGCTCAACCTACTATTCCTGTACTTTTGTGAAGTCTGAAGGAAAAGGAAGATTTTTATTTATCAATTTTATATTTTTAACCCCTCACATTTTGTCTTGACGGATGAAATACTGAAAACCGCCGAACAACAATGTATGATCGAACCTAAAAACAAAATATTATTCAACTATTTCTTGATATTTGTCTTGGGCAATTTTGAGGAAGCAGCTAGATCACGTGTTTTGCCTGGTGGCAAGGTGGGTTGACACCTAGGCCGGGTGTCAAGGTTGGTTGATATCTAGGCCTGGTGACAAGGTGGGTTGACACCTAGGCATGGCCAGAAAGGTGGATTGACCGCTAGGCCTGGGGGCAACGTGGGTTGACACCTAGACCTGGTGGCAAGGTGGGTTGATACCTAGGCCTAGTGGCGAGGTTGGTTGACACCCAGGCCTGGTGGCAAGGTGGGTTGATACCTAGGCCTAGTGGCGAGGTTGGTTGACACCCAGGCCTGGTGGCAAGGTGGGTTGACCCCCACGCCTAGTGGCAAGGTGGGTTGACACCTAGACCTGGTGGCAAGGTGGGTTGACCCCCACGCCTAGTGGCAAGGTGGGTTGACACCTAGACCTGGTGGCAAGGTGGGTTGACAACTAGGCCGGGTCGCCGGGTGGTCCTTCTTATATTTTGTGAGAATGTTCATGTTTATTGAATTAGCATCATAAGCTGACAGAAAATATCGAGTTTATCGAATATTAACTTTTTTGTGTGAAAGCAAATAAGAAATCTAACCTCAAGATAGTAATGTTCTGAACGACTTGAAACGAACCATGCAACCAGCTCCCTCTATGAGAGTCAGATATGAAAACAATTCGATTCGATGTACATCAGCTTTCGAAACATATCCATACAATATTTCATTAGAACGTTGCCAGTTGTTCAGAAATAATCGTGAAGTACCTACGTGTATAAAATTTGGTTTTATCATGTATCTTGAATACGGATGCTGTTTCGAAAAAATTCATGAGCAATGCCAACTTATTTTGCAGTGTTCCATCCATCTTAGCAACGCGGTCACCGTTTTCCAAACACCCTGTCGAGTTGTGCATTGAGACGAAGTGATAATATGGAAGAAGAAAAAATCGTCTGAATATATATGTAACTTGCAGAATACTTGTTTATTTTCAACAAAGCTTTAACGTTGACGTTTTCAATCAGTACCTAAACGTTTCATCCATCATCATAACGCCGACAGGACGTCCTGTCGGGACATTCAGGATGTCCATTGGACGTCTGTGGGGCGCACATATGTCCCACTTGAGGACCAACTAGGGATGTCCCTACTCCCTGGGACAACTATCGAATACCTAAATCCTACAGAATTCCTCATCAACTACTACCGAGGACATCCTTAGGACATCTGTAGGACAACCTATCAGCAACGCTGAGAGATATCAAATGGATGTCCATAGGATGTCCCAGAGACGTACGAATTATTCTTGAATTTGAATTTTTCTGGATCCCTCGAGGACCAGATCTTGCATAACTGATGAGGACATCCAGTTGAGTTGATGATCCGTAGAAGGTCCCTAATAGATCCTGAAAAAGTTTCCCCAGGATGTCCATAATGGACTTACGTGAAGGACATTGACAGGGAGTATTTATAGCCTGCGAGTAATAATTCGTCGACGAGGTGTAAGCTAACATCCTTGCAGGAACAACATATTGAAAGCATCGACTGGGACGTCTGTAGAACGTTATTTCGAGGACATTAGATAAGTACAGTTCATGTTCCAATTGGGACATCCGACGAATATCCCTGGGGGACATTCGAAGGATATCCCTAAGGAATATTTCGATTGTTATACGATCCTGGAAATATTAATAAGGGCGACTGTGCAGAGATATTTGAAGGAATGTACTATTAGGAAAATTTCATGGTTGTCTATAAGTTGTTATATAAGTTCTGAAGTCATGCCAGAATATGTACTACTCGGGACATCCGATGGATGTCCCTAAAGGAACGTTTAAAATCATATCCCATCAGGGACATGCCAAGGACGTCCTTGCATGGACATTCTACAATATGTACCACGTGGGACGTCTTAGGAATGCTATTTCTAGGACATTTGAAATGATGTACCAGCTGGGACATTCCGTGGACGCCCTTGCTCGGACATTGCATGAGATGTACGGGATGAGACGTCCCAAGAACACTTATTTTTGGTCCGGGACATTCGGACTTGAATTCTAGCAAATAGGGACGTCTCTAGGACGTTGTGTGCTATTAGGGTCGGAATATTCGTGAGCATGGGGATATTTTTATTAAAGAAGTCCCCTAATGAATGTTAATATAATTTATATTGCATCTCAATTCACTAAATCCAGGAACTCTTAACACTTTTTATTTTTTTCACCATTCTAATAAATTTACTATTCACTATTCTAATAATTGTCCTATATCATATTCATTTCTAGGCTGGAGGAAAACGGCAAATAATCAATACCCAGAAGGTCGCCACTAGGTACGTACAATATCAACAAATCCACTCATTCGACTTCAGTTCAGAAATGGCTAACGATGCAGTCCCTCATGTTCGTTTAAAAATCTAATGCGTCTCGACAATACAAACTTTGACCGTTGATTCAGAATATTTCTCAATCAAAACTCCGGTCTTGTGAAAAGTGATGGCATAACGCGTTAACTGCCAAAATGAATCGCTACACCATTCTTCATCAACTTGGAGATGGAACTTATGGATCTGTAGTGTTAGGGCAAAGGAAAGACACCGGTGAGAAAGTTGCTATCAAGAGAATGAAGAGGAAATATTATTCTTGGGACGAAGCAATGAATCTAAGAGAAGTCAAGGTGGGTACACATGATATAATTTCATATAATCCGCACACTATATATACTCCCTATTTTTTCACCATGATGAAAACTATTTTCATGATTTTTGCATCTGACGCGAATTGAAGAAGATTTCGTCAGTATCACCATGTCTACAATTCGTTAATTTTCTATCAGATATCTCTCGATGTTTGAATGAATAATGCTAGATACAAAAATGAAAATATAGATATAGATAATTCACCTTGGCTAGCGATTATTCGTATGGAAGGAGGTCACAGATGTCAGTTAACGGGGTTACTGATTAGAAGTGTGCCTCATTATCATAAACAGGTTGTTTCAATTGAAAGCTAGGGTAGGTAGAACACTGCAAAATAACCCGTTGGGTTTGCTCTGCTTTCAAGATACAGGGTGCTGAAGAAATGTTTTTATACACATTTTTCACGATTATGTCGAAACTACGGGCAACATTGTAATGTAGTTAAAAGTTCTTACCGAGTAGTTTTACACATGAGTTTTTTGGGGTTTGATTTTTCCTCGGATTTTTCAATCCTAATTTGATGTGAAATCGAACATCATTGAATTCAAAAATCAAATATGTCCTCTTGATAAAACTAGATATTGTGTACCGAGATCAATTATCTATTCATTATTCAGACTCAAAAACAATAACATCATTCTTGTGCTGGAGTTATTGATTGGACAAACAATCACAAGTAGGAAATTGGGAAGAATTCGACTAAAAACATAAAATATTGAATCAGTTAGAGTAATTGTTCAAAATATCCTCCATATCCACGACTACATGATTCTATATTTTTAAAAATGCATTCTTCTAAACAGCTGAGGATCAATGCAACTCTCAACGAGAATTCATCAGACTGTCTGCAAGATACATCGAAACTGTGTAATCCTTGTTTTTAGTCAAATTTGTTTTTCCTTTTCCTCTTCCTCCCTCTTTCAAAATATGGCAACCGCATCTGCGGATAAAGGCAAGCAAGCTGTGGGCGCTGTTTTTCCTATCATGGCCAAAAAAAAATGAATTGCTGGCGCTCCAGAGAAAAACTGTTCACTTGTTTTGAATAGTGTATACCGGTTTGGGGCTGGCTCTATATGTCGATACTCCAGAACGCGTACAACTAAACTTTTTGAAAAGAATGCTATGTTTGCCTGTGAATACTCCAGATTATGTTGTTAGACTTGAAATAGGTAGAGTCAAGAGTTTTTGATACCATTTCCAAACTTACTTTGAACTGGTTAATTGAAATCCTTGCAATGGATGAAAGTCGCTTACCAAAAATTTGTTTAGTCCAGTAGAAAACAATGGGTCACAGAAGATATAGTTCTCATGGGGAATGACTTGAAAAATCTGTTTTGGTTATCTAAAAATGTGAGAGATTTAGAAGTTACACAATATTACAATGATTCGAAAAAAATATACAAGAAGAAGATACATGAGGCAAAGTATGCATTCAATCAGGGCTCACTTGAAAATAAAACTCAACAGGAGAAACAGAAAAAAATTTGGAATATAGTTAATAAAAAAACTGGAAGAAAAAGACGAAAAATAGATCGCGAATTATTACTGAATAATAAATTGGTCCACAACACAAATGAGATCACCGATGCTTTCGGTTCGTACTTTTCGACTATAGCAAAAAATACAGTTGATTTACATTTTGAGTCGACATCAATGATTACACAACTATGCATGTAATCCATACCTTCTATTTTACCCCTGTACTTCCAAATGATATATTGGACATTATATCTAACCTGAAAAATACGATCTCAGTAGGGGTAGATTGCATTTCCACAAAAATCATCAAAAATATCAGAAACTTCATTTGCGAACCACTGGCATTTTTGATAAATTCTTCTATTGAAAAGGGGGAGTTCCCCAACAAACTAAAAGTTGGGTCAATAACACCAATTTTAAAAAAAGGTGAGTCAACATTAATTGAGAACTACAGACCTGTAACAGTTCCTACAGTGTTATGTAAAATTTTTGAGAGATGTGTTTATCAGAAGATGCTAGCGTTTCTCGATCAATTCGATATCATATCTAAATTTCAACACGGATTCCGCCCAGGTAGGTCAACGGAAAGTGCATTCTGCAGCTTTTTCAAGTATGTTTATGACTCACTTGACAAAAGACGATACGCTGGTGCACTTTTCTTTGATTTGTCGAAGGCATTTGACATCATCGACCCCGGTATTATTTGCAAAAAACTATATTCCCTTGGTTTTCGAGGTACTTTCAATTCGTGGCTTGAGTCGTATTTGACTTCTAGGAAAATACATGTGAAAGTTGATGAATGTCGATCACAGTCGTATGATATGGACTTAGGAGTTCCTCAGGGGTCTATATTGGGTCCCCTAATCTTTCTCCTTTTTATTAATGATATGCCAAATCATATAAGCACAGATTATATAGTTCTGTATGCTGATGATACTACGCTTGCCGCGGATGCCGCTACCCCAGAGGAACTTCAAGAAAAATTGAATTTGCTAAGTTTGGAGTTCACAAGCTGGTGTATAAAGAATTGTTTGGTAGTAAATTCGAGAAAAACAGTTTTAATGCAGTTCTACTCCAAAGCTACAAAAAAAATTGATAATTTCAACGTAAGAGTAGGCGATGAGACAATTGAATCATCAAATGAAGTGAAATTTCTGGGTACCTACATCGATAGTAACATGACCTGGGAGTCGACTATGAATCAAGTTACCAAGAAAGTAAACACTGGATATTATGCAATTAGACAGTTGGAGTCAACATTCAGTAAGGCACAGCTCTTGAATGTATATTTTGCAATTGTATACTCCCATATTTCTTACAACATTGCTGTGTGGGGCTGTTGCACAAAACTAAATAAAATATTCATCTCTCAGAAAAGGGTTATACGATTGATATTTGGATTAAATTACAGAGAATCATGTAGACAATACTTTATTCGAAATAAAATCATGTGCGTTCCATGCATTTATATATACAAATGCATTTTATTATTCAAAACAAATATCCATGACTACAACCGAAATTGTGATTTTCATGCATACCCTACCAGGCATGGTGAACTGATACGGCTCCAAAAACATTCAACTCGTCTCTATGAGAACTGTCCGTCATATGTGGGAGCAAAACTGTTCAATCATCTACCGGATGATATAAAAAACCGAAGTAGTAAAAATATTTTCAAGGCAGAACTGAAAGAATTCTTGATTGAAGGTTGTTTCTATAGTACTGATGAATATCTTAGTTATTAGGACCAATTTCTTTATTTTATTTATATTCATTTTATATCTACTTTGGGTGTATAACTGTAATGTTACTAATTTATGTTTAAAATGTTTGTGTATCATCTGTTGTCTGACGTATCCTATATCATTTTTTTGATCATGAAGGATTTAATAAATTTATTTATTTATTTATTTATTTAAAAAAACAGCTAGAACTCCGTTCCGTATATAGATCAAAGATACAATTGGTCGATTCAAGTTTCTAAAGAGCTTGAATATGCTGACTTCAACTTGCCACTATCACAGCTCACATCTAGGTATCTCATACAGAAAAAGTCGATCCTACTCTCTAGGTATATGCAGAAATTGAAAGACAGGTCCTTATTGTTCTCTCGTTCAACCTTCTTAACATTCACCCAGTCTCTCGCACCTACTCAGTACACCCAGAACTATTTGCACATGAAGGTGCCGATTCAAGTCACTAGAACTATTGCGCAACTCAGACTATGTAATAAGTTTATGATAAGATTCACCTACCATGGCTCAACCTACCGTATAAACCCGAAAGAAAAATGTTCAGTATGCAACAAATATGTCACTGTCCTATTTATACTTCAATGCGACCTCGAAATACTCCTTGCATGGAAAATGTGAATCAATTGATCGACATGCTCATTAATATTACTCCTTCTGCAGCAAAATCAATCTCTTCACATATCTGCAATATTTTGAAACTGAGATCTTTGATAATAAACGAATTGTCTGTATATATACGCCCCCTGTATTGTGGTCCGTATTATTTTATATCTGCTGCATGTATAGTTTTTTCATCCTATGCTTCGTCACCGGCTTCGTATTGTAGCAACACATCCATGTAATGTTTCATCATTCTTTTGTACATATAATAATATGGAACATTTGTGTCAACTTGGTCATCAATATAAATCTGTGTGTATCTTTGTAAGGTATATTCTTATGTTATCTTCTTCTAAATAAATCTGATATGGTCTGATATTTTGATTGATTTCATGTAGTTCGTGCAGTTATCTATCATATAATAGCCTTCATACTACTGGAGAATATGAGTTCCAGAAAACTTTAGAAGAAAATATCAAGTATTAGAGAGTGCGACTGATTCAAGATGGTGAATCTGATTCATTTAGAGATGGAAATAATGTAATGGAATAATGGAATATACGCACAATGTACGTCCATTGGACCTTTTCTGGACTTGAAATGAACGTACGAAGTGGTGTCTTGTACTTCCACGGGAAATGTTTTATCAGAAATATCAGCTATCATTCCATCACTAGCAATACGAGTCAGAGCGTGGGTACTCGACAAGCCAGCACATCACATGATCTCGAAATACCTATTTCTGAAAATGCTTCACAAAAAAATCTATAGAACGGCAAAGATTAGAAATTCTTCGCTAGAGGAGTATTCGCAAGAAATTATAATCTCCAATAGAGTTGAAGAAGAAATCAAAAACCTAACTTCTTTCCCTATCCTCCCTAGGTTCCACGTTTACCACGTCCCAACAATATGACTGTCGGGTAGCAGAAAACTGAGATGCGGTCTCACATAGATTTGTTTGTTACATACGAATAATACCGTCTATGCAAATGTCTGGACGTTCAGCTGGAATTATTATATTATATAATCATTGACGTTATTTTGATCAATATCAGAATAACACAAATAATCTCTGAATTTCAGTCCTTGAAGAAACTGCATCACAGCAATGTTGTGAAACTGAAAGAGGTGATAAGAGAAAATGATGTTCTATATTTTGTGTTCGAATATATGCAAGAAAATTTATACCAACTTATCAAAGATCGGAGAGTGCCATTCCCAGAGACTACTGTCAAAAATATGTTACAACAGGTAAGAAGAACCCATAAATTCCTTTATTATTATTTGATTTATAGAATTTCATATTTTATTTATTGTCACAGAATTCAATACCTTGTATATTCAGGGAAGTCAGGGATGTTGAATCGCGACAATAGAATTTACTCTGTATGAGATTTTCTTGTTTATTCAAAAGTCACTGAAGTTATCTACTATTATCATTGTTAATACGGAACTTTCAATCATTGTAAGTGATCATAAATAGTTCAGATTATTCAGTCACTGGACTCGATATATATTCCTTAGCAATACCAGCATAGTCTAATCTTTTTTCAGGCTTGGTATATAGACTTGAGATTTGCTTCACGCGCCCAAGCAAACAGCATCACTCTTATATTATATTCGTAGTTATATATTGGCTACAAAATATCCAATTATTTGCCAAAGAAAGTATTCCTAAGAACTTTTAATCGGCCATAATAGGGATGCCATTTCGTGTGCTCAAAGAGATAACAATACATTCAATCTTTATAGAATTGTGAATATTTGAGGACAATGAACTCCTGGGTAAATACAGTCTGACACGAAAACTCAGAAAGACCCCACCACATCCTGGTAGAATTAAACGCAGTAACATGATGAAATTTTCAAAAGTTTGGGATCGCACCAGGTAACTGTGGCTGAAATGCCATTCATAGATTTCCTAAAATTCCTAGAACTCCGAAAGGAATTGAAATATCAAGAGATTGTATGAACTAGGCACCCTCGAAGAAGCAGTAAATGAAGCCTGCGAACATAGGTCACAATAGGTACGCTTTCTTCTAGGCTTTCTTGTTGCTAGACGGGGAGTTGAAGTCAAAAAATCTTATTTAATCGATAGGTACTCATTTCCAAACGCTCGTTCAAGTACTGTTGGAGATTGGTTCGATAATTTATAGTATTACTTTGTTGTCATAATTTTCAAAATATAGTAAAATACCGTGAAATAATGGAAATTCCTTATTTTCATTTGAAACATCGTTTGAGTTGCAAATTCATCGCTGAGGTATGATTCTAATCAATAGGTAGGCATTTTCGAATATTTTCAGAATCCAAGATTGCCCAGATAACGATTACCTACCAGGTTTTATTGAACCTAGTATTTTTTTATAGATACTTCAAGGTCTTGCGTTCATCCATCGCCATGGGTTTTTTCATCGTGACCTGAAACCCGAAAATATCCTGTGCTCAGGAACAGACTTGGTCAAAATTGCTGACTTTGGGCTGGTGCGAGAAATTCGATCGAGACCCCCTTACACGGATTATGTTTCGACAAGATGGTATAGAGCACCTGAAGTTCTATTGCATTCTACAACTTATAGCAGTTCCATAGATATGTGGGCGGTTGGTTGCATAGCCGCCGAAATCTATACTTATAGACCCTTATTTCCTGGAACGACAGAAACGGACCAATTATACAAGATTTGTGCCTTGTTGGGCACGCCAGATAAGGTAACGGAAAAATCAATTTCGTAATGACGTTTCATTGATCCCCAATTGTTCCTTTACGTTCTTCGACTGCAATTAGACTAATATGTGATATCGAATTATTACGTCATATTGACGTAGAATAATGGAAGTGATGATAACATCCATGAAATGTCAATAAGGAATTTTTCATTGGCAAGTTGACGCCATGATTTTTTTTCTTCCCTTATTGTTTCAGAACATTTCGAACACCTAAAACATCAAAATAGTTTAACAGAGGGTTTGTTTTTGTTAGTGTACCTAGAACTTTTTCTTCTTGTTGTCAATTCACGTGAAATAACTAAGCTGAGTAAACATTGAACATTTCTCATTCTGGGTAGATATTGAATTTTGAATCTTATTTAGGTCACTACATTTGTCTATAACATCCATGGAGTCTATGACTGCAATGTGACCTTTAAATGGCCTTATATGATATAGTGAATTCATACTTTCTTCTGTTCAATCATATGAGAGAATCATCTATTTTTTCCAGTTTCTCTCGAATTTTCATATTTGAGTTTGAATAAATAGGTTTATCAACAACGTGATGCTTCGTTTGTCAACCTTCATACGTCGTAGCCAAAATACTATAGGTCTGCTTATTCATTTAATAATTTGAATTACAAATACTACTAGCCATTCTTACTCATAAACAGCCGATAATTCTTCACTGTATCGAGGGCAAGACTTAGATAGCCATCACTCACGGCTTAGAACAGCTTATCAAAGAACCCACACGAATTCCCGATGCCAATAACCATTCAGCTAACATACCTACTTGACTAATTCCTCACTGATAATTCAGCACCCTACACCATAGATGTACGAGCTCCACTTGGCAATTCTGACCACACACTCATCTCCACAACCTGCCCATTTTTCATTCCATCAACTGCTCCGGCACCCCCACGTCTCATATGGCACTACAATTCAGGAGATTGGGACGGTCTCCGCATGTTTTTCTCCGAGTTTCCTTGGCATAGAGTATGCTTTGACTCTGAGGACCCTTCACAGTGTGCTGCGGAAATATCCAAGATCATCAAGCTTGGAATGGACACATACATACCTCATTTTCCGAAAAGATCATCACCATCGAAACCCTGGTTCAACAAAAACTGTTCTAGAACTGTTGCCTTGAAACAAACAGCCTACCATTGCTGGCGCAAAAACCCTAACCTCGCGACTAGAGGAGAATACGTTGATGCCAGGAATAACTGCAGCCAAACAATAGATGCTTCGAAAGAAACATACAGTGCCAAGATGAGATCGGAACTCATAGTGTTCCAATGGCTCCTGTTCGTTTTGGTCCCTTGCTAAAGCGGTCGGAAGAAATTTCACTAACAGTTCATTTCCACCACTATCCAAGTCCGACGGCACATTAGCAACAACATCGCAGGAGAAAGCAAATATTTTTGCAGAGATGTTCGCAGCAAACTCTACTTCAGATTCCCAAGGAAAAGTGCCGCCAGACATTCATCCGCCCGTTGAGAGTCGAATGCCCGAAATCGTCTTCCGTCAACGAACTATCAGACCAATTTTGCTTGGTCTCAAAACGAATAAGGCTATCGGTCCTGATGAAATTCCACCCAATATCCTCAAAAAATGTGCACCAGAATTAACACCGATTCTCTGCAAGTTGTTTACCGTCTCGTACAGGTCGGGTATTTTTCCATCATGCTGGAAGACAGCTAGAGTCCAACCAATCCCCAAAAAAAGGAAAAAAGAACCTGCCCAAATACTACAGGCCCATTGCCCTGTTATCAGTAATCTCCAAAGTGATGGAGAAAGCCATCAATATTGAGCTTATCAAATATCTGGAGAGCTCAGGAATCATCAATGATGACAATACGGCTTTCGCCACCAAAGATCTACTGGAGATCTACTCGCCTACGTCACCCATTTATGGCAAGCTTCATTAAAAAAACATGGGGAATCTCTAGCTGTCGTGTTGGTCATAACGAAAGCATTCGACCGTTGTTCTGATTCAGTACATGAAGGATGAACATATCATCTAGGTCATCGTCACTAATAGCATCGCTATCATTTGCAACATTTTGCAACAGGGTTTGCAGCAACAACACTGAAACAATATCCAAGCAAGCAAAGACTATCAAATCAAAACATTTGAATGAAAAAAAAATGGGTTAAAATGAGTCTGGACTTGTATCTTGTATGTACGTAAAACATGTACGTACCATACGGTAACTTTAACGCTACTTTTCATTGAATACGTACGTATTTCTATTCGTCCATACGTAATTGCAAGTTTTTGTATTGGCTTTAACTCCCTAAAGTCCGTATGACACTGACCAGTTTTTCACTCATAAAATGGATCATTATTGAACACAATAAAACAATCAGAATAATCTGAATCATTTTCTATGGGAAAATTATGTGCTGTGTGACACGACATAAGGTCACAGTCAAGATATTGTGACAAGGGGCATGCGCTTGTTATGAAATAATATAATAGTTATGCAGATGCACATGCTGGTTGTGCGTGTATAGTAACCTCAAAATATATTTTTGGAAGAAGATATTCAAAATTGAAGAAAGGTATTGAGTAATAGTTTCTCTTGAAGAATATCTGTCTGCAGTTCTGCAAAAGTGGGTGCTATGCTTCTGAATATGAAGAAAATGAACACCTTTATGGAAGCTCTGTAATTTATATAAGTATCTACAAATTTCATAAGAATGAATAATGATAAGTTCACTTTTGTACTGGACAAAATAAACTAAAAAAGATACAAATATGCGAGACTGTATTTCACCAGAAATGAGGTAGGTACTCAATCCACATTTCCTCATTGTCAAAGTATAAAGTATGTCAAAGAGTCTACTCGAGCGTTTGTGGGTGTTCGATTGCAAACAAACAGGGTTTCTTTTGGTATTCTCCAATTAGGGCACCAACATCTGCTCCGAAGACCAAACCATTATATAACCGATGTTATCTAAATTTGAGATAACAGTGAAATTAATGACTGGACGTATATCATTTGTAATTTATATTATTATTAATATATTATTTATATTAATACCAACGAAACGACATTACCATAACCCCATGAAATTGTTTCTCACTTCAAAACAAAACACACAATTCGAAGGTTGAATAACGGCGTTATGCGCAAGCGCTTCAACATAAAATGAATGAAAAATAGGACATGTTCTATTTTTCATCCAATTTTGCAGTCAGACTCTCTGTTTCTGTAATACACGGTGCAGTAAATTCCAAATACAAATTCTCATTCAGAAAATGGATGAAAAACTGGCTCGTGTCATACGGACTATTGTCGTTTGACCAGCGGCGTCCTGAAAAAAAAAGTGTCCCGATGACTCCTCCGGCGTGAACAGCGCACCATGCAGTCACTTTGAGCGGGTGTAATGGCTCCTCGTGCATCACTTGTGAATTTTCGGTGCCCTAGAAACGCTAGTTTTGCTTGTTTACGAACCCGCTGGGATGGGAATGAGCGTCATCACTCATCATGATTTTAGTCGAAAAATCGTCCACTTCGTCCACGAGATTGAGGATGACTTGGGCGTAGGTTCTCCTTAAGGACGACCCGCTGATGGCTAATTGCGAGGCATGGCGTCTGGTCGATGTTTCATCCTCGGCAAAAGCGGCGGTATCCTCGGCAGAACGGGCGCTTTGGGGCTGGCCAGTCTTGGCAGCATCTCGTGTGGTCCCATACTCTTCGAGGTTGGTGGCCAAACGGCGCAGTGCTTGCGCAGTCGATGCCGGACGACCGGGGATCGGCGACGGAATTTCGACAGGGTCTGGCACGACGGACTACTAACCAAAATGGTAGACTACGGGTACCCGATATCTATGGTGAAGCTAATAGCCTCCTTTCTGCGGGGAAGGCGATGCCAATGTGAAGTTGGCAACGAAATCTCCGCAGAGAGGTAGCTAGAAGCAGGAATACCGCAAGGTGCGGTCCTTTCACCACTACATTTCTCCATTTCTACCGCAGATATCCCCAAACCCGCGAATAACTTCAACAAACTCGCACTATACACCGACGACACAGCCATAATTGCCAGATCCAGCAACGCAGACATGACAGTACGATACCAACAAGAACAAATAGATACACTCGAAATCTGGTTTAACAACTGGAAAATAGAAATCAACGCAGAGAAAAGCCAAGCTGCTCTCTTCACTAGACGGCGTACCAAACCCACAGGACACGTAATACTAAACAACACACACATACATGGGCAGATGAGGCAAAATATCTAGGGGTAACCCTAGACAACAAACTTACTTTCAGACAACACATCACAACACGACTAAACTTGGGTAGAGCCGCAAGGCAAAAACTACAGCGTCTAATAGGTCGCAGAAGCAACATGGCCCTAGAGTTGAAGCTGTGTCTAATAAGAACCATTCCACGAAACCCGCTACTGCACGACCTGACTAACAGACAACTAAATCAAGACCCGCGCTTCGGAAGAATAAAGTACAGGCGCCCAATTCACCAAATATAAGATAAACAAACAAAAAGTAAATCAATATCAATAAAAGTTGCATAATAATCATCCGATAATTAAACAGAAGAGTCTCTCCTTTGATACCCTATAAAAATGTAAACCAATAATAATAATACATAAACTCCAATTTTCTTCCCATTAGGGTAGGGAACCACCACGCAAAGTCAGGCTAGGAAACACACATTAGACAAAAAGGTTCAAGAGTCGGAAGACTGAAACCAAGTAAGGAGATTTTATAAAACATAATAATATGCAGATTGCCAAATGCATGAGGTTGAAGTCCATTCGTTAGTGAGTGGGGGTGGATGGACATGGGGATGAGGAGCTATCATATAACGTTATATGGTGGACCTTGTTCCTGGGCATTCAACCTTTCGGGGGGCGGGGAGGTGGTGGTGGGCGACGAATTCACGTTGCGCCAACACCACAGACGAATTGTTACGCTACGCAAAAAAAATTCTTGGGGAGTGTATCACTCCATGGCTTGT